GATCCGAGATGCTGCGTGTCCACAGGATCCGTCAGTTTTTTGCTTCCATTCATCGTGTAGTGAAACGTCCCCGTCGTGTTCTGGAGGGAGTTTCAAGCTATGAGGAGTAGCGTCGCATAAAGTAGAGTTCAACTTTATGCAAATTCGTCAAATTTTGGTGAAACCGCCCCGTGGATACTCATCATTAGGCATTAATAAGAGAATAAACTTTCCAACAAGCCAAGCAACGTGGTCTCAGTTCCATCACTGTTCACCAAACTTTAAGAACTTTAAGTGCATTACTGCCACCTACTGGGCTGGAGTGTGTTTGCCAGAAATTAGGGAACTGAGAACGGTGCAATTAAATGCGTTTTTAATTTTTTTAAAATTTTATGTATCATTTTTTCCCCCTGTAATAATTAATTGTAACTAACGTGTTCAAGTCCCAGCCCTCATTTTTTTTTTTTTTTTACTGCAAGGGGTCTTTAAATGAGCATATTAAAACATACACAAACATATTTGTAGTGGTTTTCTGATACTTGAACATGAAAAACATGGACCAACACTATCCTTCAAATAATAAACGTTGGACCACAGGTCTATACTGAGACTGTTTGTTTAGGTGTGTTGGAAGAAACAGTTCTGATATGTCTGGAGCTTGATAAACCAAGATTAGATTTTTTCTTTTTAGTCAAAGACTAATTGAATTGCATATGCAGAGCTCCTTTAAATGATTATTATTTTTTTCAAGAAGACTGCAGCTGAATCTGTAGCCACCTGCACAAATACTGGAGAAGATGCCAAAGTGGAATTTCATCTTGCAGAACACATTTGCTGTCAGATATTGAAGGTTGAAAAAAAAAAAATTCAATGTTGACTCCAATCTTTCAAAAATATATAAAAAAATAGTTTTGGAGTAGACAGACACACTAACAAAACTTGCTCGGCTACACACCTGCAGCACACACTGACAGACATCAGACGCATTTATTTCATCTTTGAGTTAAAAAAATAAATAAATAAAAAAAGCCGTATTGGGTCACTTCATCCTCTCACCTACAGTCGATCTCGGGGCAGAAATCATGGCAGGCTGTCAGGGAAAGTGTCGAGAAATGTTTGCTGGGAGAGAGCGCCGGGTCCCTGTAGGATAACAAGGTGAGCTCCGCAATCCGACTCTCTGACATGTTAAACCCAACATACGCGCAGAGCAAGTTTCAAAATCTGTCAAATCTGTCAGCGCAGAGGCAGATTCATTAAACAAAGTAACATAAACGTCTCGGGGAGACTAAATTAGACTGCCTGCCAGTGACCTCTCCTCCTTGTTGTTCTTACACGACTCAGACGCACGCCTTCCTTTCGCTAGGTTGTCTCTTTGAACAGATCGCCGCTCAAAACAAGAAAATGACATGACACGAAAAACAAAGTGAAACCAAACAGAGTAAAAACAAAACGCTTGATGTGCCGGCGAACATCGGAGTGACACTCTGTCAGCAGCGACTGAACTGCTCGCCGCTGACTGAACATCCAAAGTGGGGGAAAAGATATAAACCCAGTGACATGAAAGTCTGGGAGCACCGAGGCAGAGTTGGGGATGAATAGTCAGTATGTGTTTTCTGTGTGTGTGTGTGTGTGTGTGTGAAAGGGAGGCAGAGGCGCTGTGCATGTGAGGAAGTGTGTGTCTTTCCCAGAGCAGCGAGTGTGTTGAAGCATTATCCTTGCGTTTGAGGTTGGCCTTAGCTGGAGGGCTGAAAAGCAGAGGTGGACGGGTGGATGCATCATTGAGCAGTGAAGGCTGCTTCAAACTGCACTGTACTCACAGTCCGGATCTCGGGTTCACTGGTTCATTGATGCTAGCTGTCATCCTTCATGCACGGACTTAAAATGCACACCTATTGTAAACCAGGAACATCCAGGCTCCTTCTTTTATTTTTTTTAAACAACGTCCCCACAGAATACGGCTGATATTAACTAGATAACTGCTACCTGATTTTTTTACGCCTTCGCATAATGAAAACACTTAAAATGTGACCAGCAAATTAGTAGTGCTCTGCTGAGAGCGCTAAGACAATTAAAAGCGGAAGAAAGTTGTTCCAGAGCAAACAATAGAAGCTGGGGGAAAACATCATCTCGGGCTTTTTATGAACGCCATAAAAGCGGCATTAATCCCAGGTTTCACAACAACAGAGTCGTTATTTCGCGAAAAGAAAAGCAAAGAAAAGGGAAATGAGGACACCTGATTTAAGAGGATATGTTTTTCAAATGAGCAGCAATTTGGGGGCTCCTCGTTAATGCCTGATGGAACCGAAAAACATGTCGATGCTGACACAGGCGGCGCTTTCCTTAATCATATCCTCTACTTTTATGTTTTTTTTTTTTTTTGCAGGAGATCCTTCAATATGGCCGTTCGTTTGAAGTCGAGAAAGTCCTCTCTGATGAAAGGTATCAAACACTAAAGGTCAGTGGATGAAAAAAACAACGTTCTTCTGCTTTGCCCAACTGTGGAGAACCCGCTGTGAGAAACCATTTGCATTTTGCCATCTCTTAAGGACGCGGAGCTCTTCTCCTCGGCGTTGAATGCTAAAACCCTTCTGAGAAGAGCCTGTCATTTTCGGAGCATGTCTTCTTGATTACGTCCTTACCTCTTTTCCTGCCAGCTGTTCACAAGTGTGTTTGGGGTTGGACCTAAGACGGGGGAGAAGTGGTACCGCAGAGGGCTGCGCTCATTCAGCGACATTCTGGCGGAGCCCAGCATTCAGCTCAACCGGATGCAACAAAGTGGTACATCAACATCTCACCATCTTCACTCTGCCACTTCACAAATTACACACTGAAAATTCCAACTCGGGTTTGCTTCCAAGAAAGATTTTAAAGACCTAATAGTTAAATTTGTCTAGCAGGAGGGGCCCGCATGTCATCTGGGACTTGTTTTGTGCTTTCTGGTCTCAGAGGAGGCTCCTAATGTGAAGCTCGAGGTTTAATGTGTTTTCTCTAAAGTGAGCGGAGACACGACCAGCAGGGAGTTTACTCTAAAAATCACAATGGAAAAGGCAGCAGGGGTGTTTTTAAAAACACAAAAAAAATCAATGAATAAAGCTTGTGGAGAGACGACTCGTTTCTGAATGCGTACAAGTTCTCATCAATCATCGGAGCAGAGTGGGCCGTCAAAGCAAAGGCCACCAGAGGTTTCAAACTCGCAGTGGGAGAGGTGTAATCTGTTTGATACGTTACACTTTGCTTCATATTTATGTTGGGATTTATTCCTCATTGCTTTTGTTGTTTAGTTTGAGTTTGGATAAAGAATTGGGGATTGTTTACAGAACGAGAGAAAAGCAATTTGGTGCTAAAAAAAAAATCTTTGAAGAGTCCTCGCTAGCAGCTCTGTCAGACTGTGATTCCTGGTGTGAAGAAACTGTTAAAAAGATAAAAAGCAGAGCTCCAAAATTCATTTTCTGAAGCAGTGTTTAATCTCTAGCGGTCGTGGTACAGTGGTACAGTCTACATTTTAAGCCGTGCCAGAAACACACATCTACGGGCGGCAGTGTGTCTTGAACTATTGAATTACCGTGAACTTTTGTACAAACATTCATGCTCTCCAGAGGTTTAATCGAGCTTTAATGAACCATTTTTCCCCTCTTCCTGCTGCAACATTAGCAAGTCAAATGCTTCTCTTATTCTGTGAAATATCTCAGCAGCTAGTTAGTTACGACACGGATTGGCACCACCGCAAATATCAAGCTTGTGGTGGTGCCAATCCAAACCAAACTACTGGAGGTACATGTATACCTCCAAGCACCCTCACAGGAAGTCCAATAGGTTGGTTTAGAACTAAATGTGGACCTTGAAAGCATACAGTAAGTGTTTCTATTCACACTATAATGGCGTGAGAGCTATACAGGAAATTGCATCGTGCTCCTGTGGATGTTTCTGAAAGACTGCCGTTTATATTGAGTTTAATAGCTAGTTAGAGGCTGGGCTGTAACACCGCGTTAGTGTGACTATGATGGAGGTGTGCTGAGGAGAGCTGACAGACGCAGCACAGGGTTGTTAGAGAATTTTCAACTGTGTTTGGTCACCGTCGATGGAAAGCATTTACAAATCAAAGGACCTCTAAAGTCCAGCAGTGACTCCTTCAATTACACTTTTGCAGTGTGGACACTGTGCAGTCTTGAGTGAAGGATGAAATTTGGGTCATGCAAATCCTTGTGGACACGGAGAAGTAAAAAGCATCAATTAGCCTTACGTTGTGAGAACATCCAGCTCAAAGCAGAAGTCAGGGGTGTCCAATCCTGGTCCTCGAGGGCCGCAATCCTGCATGTTTTAGATGTTTCCCTCTTCCAACACACCTGATTCAAATGATCAGGATCGTTATCAGGCTTCTGCAAAACTTGATGATGAGCTGATCATTTGAATCAGGTGTGTTGGAAGAAGGAAACATCTAAAACATGCAGGATTGCAGCCCTCGAGGACACCCCTGATAGATGATGGTGCTGTTTGTCCTTTTTGCAGTTTGGTTAATCAGTCTTTCCCACTGTTGTTATTTTAATTTAGTGTGTTGTCATGCAAGCAGTTGCTAACTAACATGTGCTAGACTTTCTTGATGTGCACAAATCCAAATCCCCTGTAATACGTGTTCATGTTCAGCCACGACTCACCTCCATCACCTCTCTGTGAAACCACCTTCGATCACCTTAGATTTATTGTTTATTTAGTCAGACGAGCTTCTAAAGTAGAGATGTGATGGATGTCTCAGTCAGCAGAGTGGGAGTTTAGGTCAGCTGAGGCTCATAAGGATGTCATTAATTTTAAAGACATTTGGTCATAAACCAAAAAGCCCAAAGTGTAAAATCACGACTCAGTGAAAAAGTGAGGGCATCATTAGAGCTCGCTGGACTGTAAATAATCTGCACGTAATTCCAGACACACACACATATGTTAACCTGTTGGTGGTGCTAAAAGAAAACCAGTAGGCGTCATGTGTTGGAAGTTGTGAATGCACAAAGCAACAGGTGATGAGATATTTCATTCTGGACCTGCTGTTACTCTGGCATCACCATCCCTGGAGCCTTTACAGCATCCTACACTTAAAAAGAAAAAAAAAACAGAGGGAAGAGGAGTGTACACGGTTCTCGCTTAGAGAAAACATTTGCATTGATGATTCTCGTACTCTCAAATCTGAAAAGCTGAGAGAACAGAAATGCAGCGAGACAGGAGCAACCAGACATGCAGATAACAACAGCTGGGACTCCCATAGAGAACATGGCGGTTAAATGAAATCCTGGTTTGTAACCTTTCATTTATGTGCATCATTTCTTCTGCTGCTCGGGATGTTTCTGGATGCACACAGTGTAGCCGTGCACGAGGCGGGATTTCAAAACATTATATTGCACTGCTCGCAAGCTCCCATTTAGCTTGAGACTCCATCCCATAATGTATTACGCTGACAGACATCTTCATCACACTGGTCATAATCCATCATGCGGAACACTGCAGTCTCCGCTCCGTGCAGAGAAATAATGTGAGTTTTTGACATGGAAAATGTGTTTGAACCCTGATCTCTCCGCTGTGTTCTGTAAATCTTAAAAGAGCAGAAACATGAATTATCCCATTAATTTTTACCGCCGTCCAGACAGAAATATCATTAAAGGCTTTGTAATTAATTGGCGACGCAGCTCTGAGTTTATACTTTTTCTGTAGCACAAAGCGAGGAGGAAATTCAAAGTGAGACATCAAAAGATACCCATCAATCCATCAAACATCATTTATCTTTTTCTACAGCGACCGTGATCGTCTCGTGTTTGCGGCAGGCGTACACCGGCAGTCGCCTTCCGTCAGCCTGCAGAACATATCACATTTTTACCTTACTTTTAATTCACTCCGACTCTCCACTTCCCCAGAGCAAATGGCTGTGATTGATGGCTGGTTCCCACACTAATAACCACGTGGTCTTTTCCCTGCAGGTTTCCTGCATTATGGAGACATCTCCAGGGCTGTCAGTAAAGCGGAGGCCCAGGCCCTGGGGAACATTATTGACGAAGCTGTCCGTGCGATCACACCGGACGCCGTACTGGCACTGACAGGTGGCTTTCGCAGGTACAAGACATGCCTCCTCCCTTCAGCGTTCATATTGTAAATGAAATAGAACAGCACTTCCTTTTGTTTTCTTTCCCGCTGTTGTTAAGTTCAAATTTGTTATGCACAGGGAGATACAAAGACATCAGGGAAGTCTCAGGAGGTCTGCTTGATTCCCACGTGGCTGGTTCTTATTATTAACTACTGTCAGAGCATAGAGGTCACAGACTGAGTGTGAGGCAGCAGCACTGCAGCTGCTCCATCTCGCAGGTTGTTTTTTTTAAAGAATTGTTGGATAAAATGGATTAATTTGACATTTATCGCCCTGTCTCACTCCTTTGTTCTTCCCTGTAAAAGAAAATACTTAATAGTCAATCATGTTTTGCATTTACATTAAGATGCTCAAACGCATTACGTTGTCAATCTCAGACTGCATGGTGAGTGCTCTTGTAAAGCTACCTGCTGAGTGCAACTATTTGCTCACAGCCGGCGCCTCCCTCCGTCGCCACCTCTTTGTGCTCCTCTTTTTTTATGTGCAGCGCTTTGTGCCTGAGTAAGCGTGGAGCACTTCGCTCGGTCGTGTTGTAAAAATCCAGCCATAACCAGTGGCGTGTGAGGTAAATAATTCAAAAGCAGTCTGGCAGTAAGGACAGGCGCTTGCCTCTCAACAGGGGTGACAGAACTGCCACAGCTTAGCTGATGGTCTTTAGTAGTGTCTGGGCTGCAAACATTAAATGCTACCAGGATTCTCCTTTTTCTTTAAAAAAAAAAAACCTTTTGAAAGTTTTCTGTATATCCGAACATATCTGTCAAAGTTTAGTAGAAAATTACCATCTACTGACTTTTAAATGAGACCAAGTATGTTGCGAAACAACAACCGCTGCGGCTACAAGAGACAATTATGAGATAACACGAAACAACAGTTTGGCAACGAAAACGCTCAGAAAAACACAGCACAAGCAAAGAAGGTCATAAGCTTTGTCCTCATTCCACATACTACACGCACAAGTCGATAGTTCTGGTCTGTGTTATATACTGATATATACAGATTGTATATTTATAGTGTGCTGTTTTTGCACTAAGTGTTTAAGAAATCAACAGACTTCACTGTACTGAAAGCAAATATTTGCTGCACCCGTCGCCAACTGCAACTTTTGGAATGACACCGCTCGTAAAACGTAACAAAGAGGCAGCTGTGTTTTTACAAAAGTCTATTTTTGTTACCTGGAGCTGTTTAACCACCATCCATTCATTTGGATTCTTCCAGCTGTGAGCATGTCCTTTGAGCATTGGATTGTTGAATAATAGTGTCCATTAACAGCACACTGAAAAATCAGTTTATTTTAGTCTCCACACTGACTAATACTAACCACGCTGTGAATGTATGTGTATAGAAAATGTAATTAATTACTCTTTTCGTACTACAAATAATAATAAAAAAAAACTATTACTTTACTAATTACTCAATCACAAAAGCAATTCGTTACATTACCGAATACTTCATTTGCATTATCTGGCAGCTCTTTTAACCGTGTCTCTTTCCTATGCAAATAAACTGCATTAAAGAAACGTATTTTCTACCTGAATCGTAGAACATAGTAGAAAAGGCCTCCAGGTGAAAGGAGTTTATGTGAGGAGGCAGGAGACAGGGTGGGACATAAAAATACAACAACTGTGGAGTTTCTAGGGGTCGCATTTCTCCTCAGAAACTAACCACCTTCTCTTATCTCCATTCCCTGCGCTTCGTTAAAATTTAGCTACTAGTCTGCCAACTAATATCAATTAATTAAACTCACAATAAACTTTACTGTCCAACACTACCTGAGATAAAAAGACTTCATATAATGTGCATTACACAGCTGCAAAATTCCCTCATGTTGGTCAATATTAGTGAGAACACCCGGGATCTTTCTGCGTGGAGTTTGCATGTTCTCCCCGTGCAGCGTGGGTTCTCTCCGGGTTCTCCAGCTTCCTCCCACAAGGTCTAAAAACATGTTGAGGTTAATTGGTGATTCTAAATTGTCCGTAGGTGTGAATGTGAGTGTGCTTGGTTGTCTGTCTCTAAGTGTAGCCCTGTGATAGACTGGTGACCTGTCCAGGGTGTCCCCTGCCTTCACCCTAAGTCAGCTGGGATAGACTCCAGCCCCCCGTGACCCCAATGAGGATAAAGCGGTGTATAGATAATGGATGGATGGATGGTTAACATTAGCTATAAACGAAGGCTGTCTATAAAAGATAGACGTGTCCTCCTGTTCTGAGCCAATGGGGAAGTGGCTTGGGTGCATTCTTTCTAATAGCCAGCAGGGGGCAAAAAGAAATCTGATTGCATTTAAGTCTCTGAGAAAATGGCACTACTTCTCACTTAATTTGCTACCTCAGTAAACATCTTCCTCATCAGTTTATGGTCTCAGTTGCTTCTTCCACATCTCCTTCAACACATCATTGTGTTTGCTTTGTAAATTATGGTCCAATTTAGATTAAAATAGATGATAAAGCAGGGTATGTTTCAGGCTGAGGATACATAGTGATTGACAGTTGCTACTCTATCACCATGTGTAGTATGAAATCCACCTCTTGCTTGTTATATCTAGACCAAGATGACAGCAACCAAATGTCAAACTGATCCTCCAAAGTGGTAGTCCGCAAACCAACGGGCGACGTCACGGTTGCTATGTCTTTCTAATCTATACGGTCTATGGCCCTACGGATGCAGCAGTAAAATCCCACAGTTTATTGAAAAGTCTGTTTTACTGCTTAAACTTCATTTGTAAGTGGAAAATTGTGTTATTTCTCCCCTCAGAAGTTCCACAGCCTCTCTGTAAAAGCCTGGACCGCGGTGTGTATATTTAATTTGTCTCCGTGGTTATAGGTTCACAACATTCCTAAGTAAAGATGGTATCAAACAGCACAAGGAAAAAAAAAAAATCCAATATCTCTAATCTTCAAAAGGATAAATGGCAGCTGGAATGATATCTGATTATGTAAATAACTGCTCCTCAAGGGGAAAATGTGGTAAGAGAGATGAGGAAAGTGATTAGAGCATCATGGATAGTTAACATCAAGAATGAAGGGGAGGAACAGCTCGAGATTTATGGGCCAGGAGTCTGCTGCAAAGTGTAAAGGGGCCTGCGAGAGAGCTTTTATGGCTTCAAACTCGGGGAGATGAAGCACACATTTACTTCATCTCATATTTGGTGCAGACTTGGGGAGTATTACGTGAGTCCTAATTGGAATCACGCCGAGCTTTAATTGAAGAACGATGACTTGTACATTATCAGTTAGTAAGTAAGTAATTTACCTTTATCTTGTTGAAAAACAGATTCTCCAGACATGGTTTAAACGTAGCGGGAGGCGATATGAGGGCTAATACATTAAAAAAAAAGTTCAAATGCTCTTTAAGATGCCAGCAGCACCACTAATAATCCACTAATTTTATTCAGTGTGACATATTTGAAAAATGTTCCCTCCTAAAGTCCTGTCAAGGCTCGATTTAATTACCTATAATTTGCAGCGTGATGTCGAGTCTCTCATTAGCTTCATCTTTCCAGCCGATGGCCCCTTGTCAGAAATGGAAATACACATATACAATATCCCTCCTTAAATAGATACACTCGGCTCCGGCGAAGCTTTCATCTCGGGGTAAGATACACAAAACGATAACTCCCGAAAAGTTTCACAAAATAAGCGCCGTGCTCCAGTAAACTCAAGCTGTCAACCACTTCAGAGGGAAACAGCATGGCGAGGATTTGTTGATGCCACTGACATTAGCCTCATTGAAAGGACAGCTGTGGAAGGCGGGTGACAAGTCTTAAGGCGGTTTTGTTGGGGGGGTAGGATTAAAAATAGATTAAGCTCGAAAATACTGCTTCTACCACCACCGCGTGCGAAAGACGCACGCCGTGTCAGCGGAGAACTGTATTTATTTTGGTGTGAAGCCGGCAAATCCCCGCTGCGGATCTTATTTAACATCAGATTGTCTGGAATGTGACTGGGAGTGACACTGATGAGGGGGCCAGTGGAGTCTGCCGGAGCAGCAGCTGAGTCCCGCTGCATTGTTTCCCTTGAACAACAGCTGAGATAAGTATTCCTTATCAGTTTGGTTCAGGGTGTCATGATTTTTCAAACCAACTCTATTATCAGCTCACAGATAGAAACAGCAAAAACAAACCGCCTGATCACGACGTATAGTTCACACACACACACACACACGCTGCTTTTTTTCTTCTTTTCATGTAATATCTTCCTCATTATCACCTTGCTTTCCTGCGCTTGGCATGAAATTCAGATAGGAAGGGTGATACAAGGTGAAATGATGCATTGCTCCAACCGAAGCCGTTTCTTTTCCCTGACCAGGTGCTTTTAAGCGAGGCTGAACTCTCTCCTTCCTGCAGATGACTGCGTTCTGTGAAATTTCCAGCAGCAGCAACACTTCCCACATCTGTATTATTCATACATGTCGCCTTGTCCTCCCCACAAATTTGTAAATAACCATGTATATTTTATAGGCTTTGTGCAGTAACACTTAATAATTTAGCATTTTCTCTCACGCAATAAAAGAGTAGACCGGCTAAATTCACATAAGGTGTTTATAGATCTACAACTCTGCTCTGTGTTGCGTTTAACTTAAAGAAACACGGCGCCGGTCGGTGTTGCGCAGCGTGTTGACGGCCCATCAGAGCTAATATTTGCAGCCAAATCTTCACAGCCATGTCTCCCGCTGAGCAGGAGTGGATGGTTAATGCTGAATAAAAACAGTGTTCTGAAGGGGCACCATCAGAGGCGGAGGAGAGGAGGAAGAAAAACACCCTCTTTGCTGGAGAGAATGCGCCTCTCGTGCTGTCATCTGCTTTTCCGCTGACTGAGGTTGAATTAGTGGAGGTGTCCGCGCTGACCTGACACATGCTAATGCCTCAGTGCAAATGGGAAGGAGCTGGGAAGTGTAATACCACACTGTCTTCTCCTCAGATAACCACCAATTCCCATGTTAGCCTTTTACTCACACACCCAACCGCGCTTTGATA